ATAACAGCAGCTAAAACCTTAATTTTGTTTGAAAGTAAATATCTACTCACAACTTATTAACGAAAATTCTTCAATATGATGGTGTCTAAGAAGAGTTCCTAGCTTTCTCCCATTTCAAAAAAACACTTGAATTCGTCTAAAGTCAATAAAATTTCTACTGCCAAAGCTAATCGTTGATAATTTTACGATTAACTTTTAAGCAAGAGAATCTCAACTGTGCTAACCTATCCCTGTGACCCATGATTGTTTCTTTAAGTCCATTTTAAATTTCGCACCTCGCTGGGAAGTTATTCTTATTCACACCTGGCACGATAACGCAGATAACGATCTCGATATCATCTGTCGTTGTAATTTCCAATGTTCAAGTTTTAAACGAGTGTTTAAAAATTGTAACCGCTCAATATAGAAACAAGTGTCTAAATGTTTGCCTCACCATTCGAGTCTTTTAGCAGCAGGATGGGAATATTTGCGTTACATCAATTCTTATAGCCTTAATTAGAAGTGGATTCGCAGAAAAATATATAGTTTAAAAGTTACATATCAAAACTACATTAGAAAAGAATATTCTGTGAATAATTATCATCATGTTGACTTTCATTAATATGTCTACGAACAAACTTTAGAACCTCCCTAACGTAAAGCGGGACCTGTTTTGTTTTGGTTTTAGTAACTGCGAGGTTCCGAAGACAAGTTCTCGCAAACAATCAGAGGAATACAATTGTTCCCTTATTTCCTCTTACCTGAGCTAAACTGACAAAACGATCGATTGGACTATCTTAATTTGCAAGTCAACAATGGTTGATATAATTTCAGTATAAACAGAAGCATCTTATATGCCTTGTCACCCGAAAAATTACTCTTTTAAAACTACTTCTATTGAATTTTGGCTGACGTAATTGATTTGTGCAACAATGAGTTCATGTCTAACAACACAATCAATCACAATGAGATGAAAATGTTCGAAAAAACCCTAAATATGCATGATTCATGCACGGAAAATCTTGCCAGATATGTTCATCCTTTGAAAAGTGAAAACGGTACGATGACGTAAAAACGATTTACTTATAATCCAACTTAATTCAAATGTAAAAGGCTAATTTAGAAAAATACATATATTCATAACTCTCTCAAAAGTCCATCGGCAGTTTGCCAAGGCAAGTTTTTGGCTATCAGTGAACACCTGGTTTCGTGAGACCTTTCTGAATTTGCATAGTAGGGTAATGTTATCAACATATTCCTAAGACAAAACGACAAGTAAGCAACAAATGATCCAAGGAACGAATCAGCAAGGTGTCTTCAACCCCATATCTGTTGTCTGACTTGATCAGAAGGGCAGTTCACAGCACAGGACAAACTTTTTTAAGCCAACCATTTATTTCGGTTGCTTTTCCTTCTTTGAGTCCAAGAAAAAAGACAGATCATCGTAAGTTAGCTAAAATAATGATACTCCGGTTTGCGAACGACAAAAGCCATACGGCATTCGTATTGTGTTCCAGCCGCTTTCCTTCGTATACACCGCCTAAATCGACTTAAACATTAATTGAGTCAAATAAACACATTCTGCACACTCCAAATTAACTGTTTACGCATCAGGTAGCATATCTGTTTGACTAAGTATCTCCCCGTTTTCACTTTAAGAAATCAAAGCTACAGGAAACTTCTCCTTCAATGAAAACTCACTTTTTCATGTGCGTATTATGGTGCTTACTGACCATGAGATAACTGATTCCTCTTTTAATCTTAGAAAAACACAGTCGAAGTTAGATTTGTCGTTAACAAAGCCACAACGGAGAAGCGATAATTTCGGGCACCATATTTGTCTAGAAACCCAATAAATCTTTTTATTGTTATTTTAGAGGGCACGGTAACGAATCTTGCAATCTGATTGGTTCTTTACCCGGTCAGTATTTTCCTATCTCTGCCCACGGGCCACGGTAACGCTTTCGTGAGTCGCCGAGTACATCCCAACTTTCGTTGTCATTTTTCATAAATATACCTCGTTTTCCGGCTGGGCAGTATTTTTAAGCAAACACGTCGGTCACTACCTCAAGCCGATAAATAACTTATGAATCCTCTCTTTTCTCTCTATCAAATCACTTTGGTTTAGTGTCATTACGTTGGTTGACAAGCGGCCTAAAAACCTTCTGCAATTAATTTTAATCGTTCCCAAAAAGTACCCAGAAAGTTGGAACGTGAGGTATTTGGTTACAGTTAAACTGAACGATGGAACTTTCATTCATTTCATATCTGAATTTTCTCGAGCAATTTGTTCATAGTGAAAGAGCGAGCGAAGTTTTAATTTAAGTTCTACAACAAATATACGCTCCTGGTGAGTCTTTCCAATTCCGTTCAATTTGGACATTTGTACCTTAAATTGCACAACAGAAATTGAAGGAATTTTTTGAGAAAAGGCCGCATTACATTCCCTTGTGTCTCGTTGGAGTGTGCCGTTCGAATTTAGTTTTTGTGAAGGAAAGATCAGAGTTAAACACGCCATTACAGCAAACAAACGAGCAAACTCTCACAACTTCAACATAAAAAGATTGAATTTACTCACAATTACTTTCCTCGCCGTTTACTTAATGAACAGAGGTAAATATTCGTACATGAATGAATCGTCGATGAGAGTGAATAATACTTTCCGTTAGATCATTAACTGATTTTGAAGAAAACATTGTCGTGACAGTCCTTGCCATACTAGTTCTGTTGGTTTTCAAATGTTCCTTCGCTTTTCTTTTTCTTGCGCGCTCTCTAATTGACAGGTGTCAGATTGTGACAGATACTCGTAAAAATAATGTTTCAAAGTTTGTTTGGAAGCCTTTTAAATCACCTTTATCGTTACGGAAATGAAAATGTTTCGCTGAGGCATCTCTCTTAAATTTGCATCACCTCTATTTTAACTACCATTTACCCACTCAAAAATTCAGTTTATGGAAGATCTTGCCGTATTTACGGCCATAAATCATTCGGGTTCTTTCGGAAAGAATTTCGTCAAGTTTAAAAACAATAAATATGTTATTTACCGGCTAAGGGTCGGTCCGTATGGTGAAAAACTGTGACCTCGATCTTGAAAATGCTGCCCTCGGCCTACGGCCTCGGGCAGTATTTTCAAGACCTCGGTCACAGTTTTTCACCATACGGACCTCCCAGCCGGCAAATAACATATATTTATACCCAGCATTGACGGAACACCACAGTTTCTTTAAAATCTTCACTCCTTTTATTCAGTTGTAGACTGAAAACTGGCTAAATAATTAAATAACTGACTACCCTGACCGACTGAATGATTGACTGACGGTATGAATTAGATTTGAGTGACTGAGTGACTAACTTACTGACTGACTAACGGACGGACGGACGGACGGATGGGGGGATGGGGGATGAAAGGATGGATAGACGAACGGATGGACGGACGGACTGACGGATGGACGCATAGACGGACGGACGGACTGACTAAATGATAGACTAGGTGACTGACATACAGAATAATTCACGGACTGGGAGATTGACGGACTGGCATGGGTGACCGAGAGACTGGTTTGCAAAATTATAAAATGAAACAGACCGATTGGCAAAAGTAGAAAAAAACTAACGGTAACAATTAAAAATATACAAAAAGAAATACGAATTGGTAAGGATTGATGAGGTAAAAAGAATTCTTTTTAGACATTTGCATACCGCAAAGGCCACAATACGACAATGGCCTTAATTAAGTGTCAATATGCTTGGCTGAAATGGCTTGAGTCGGGTTTTGATTGTGTTAGAATCTTCTCTTTTGATTTCAGCAAAGCTTTTGATTCGGTCCCTCATGATATCCTCTGCTCTAAGTTGAAAACACTTGATATAAATCCATACGTGACCAATTGGATTATTAGTTTTTTACAGAACAGGAAACAAAGAGTTGTTGTTGATGCCATTGTCACGGACTATGTAAATATCAATAGAGGTGTCCCTCAGGGGACAGTTTTAGGCCCCATACTATTTTCTATTATGGTCAATGATATTAAGGCCATTCTACCAAATCAGAATTTACTTGTGAAATATGCTGATGATTTAACATTAAGTATTCCAGTAAAATCGCTGGCTAATAACGGCAATTTAGCAGCTGAGGAGGTCCGATCGATCGTCGCATGGACATCTGCTAATCGTATGCAACTAAACTTCAAGAAAACGTGGGAGATGCTTCTTAGAGGCAAATCCACTAAGGCCTTACCTGCTCCTCTGGTTTCTATAGAGCGTAAACCATGTCTGAAGTTGTTGGGTGTAACTTTTCAATCTGATCCGTGTAACTGGGACTTACATTTTGATAATATTATATCGAAAGCCAGTAGTCGTCTGTACATCTTACGTGTTTGTAAATTCTATGGACTGCCGCTGGATCATCTTCATCTTCTCTTTATCAGTCTTATTCTACCTATATTTACATATGCTGTAGAAGTATGGGGCTGCGCGTATTATCATAAGTATCTGAGTCGCATAGACAGGCTGTTCAAGAGAGCTTTTAAGCTTGGCTACTGTAAAGAGCTTTTTTCGATTGAAAATATTATTATTCTAAAAGATAAGAAGTTGTGGGCCAAGATCACCGACAGCGATTTTCCAACAGCTTTAGATGACCTTTTGCCACCAGAGCGAACAATGGATACGCTACGTAAGAGGCGCCATAATTATATTCTCCCGCTTGTCAGAACTGAACGTTTCAAAAGGACCTTTATTAATAGATGTTTGTTCTCTTATTAGTTATTCAGTTAGTAATTTAGTTAGTTTATTAGTTTTATACTTGCTGATTTCATATCATTGTAACTAAACACGTTTGTTGTTTAGAGTGCTTAATAAAGACTTATTATTATTATTATTAATATGAAAGGTATGATCTACTCTCCTCATCGTGCATACACCGTCTGCAAATCCCCAATCTTACTTATGGACTTTTAACTCGTGGAACATAGCTGAAGACAGTCGAGAAGACGTTTGTCCAAGTTTTGAATTTTTGGATTGACATGTTAAGCGTTGCAGCTGCGTAGGATGAAAGAGTTGTTTTCATCAATTGGCTCAGTGCGGTTTCTTTTTTTACACATGACACAGCAGATATATCGTTTCATCTCCATGTTTATGTCTCTCTTGAAGACAGCATAAGCGAAGGGGTTGACGACGGAGTTTAATACAAGAAGGGGTATTTTATATTCTTGATCATCACACGGCTTTTTGTCGTCATTCAAAATGTAAATAAAGCTACACCGCAAAGCGAACGAGTAAGTTACAAGAAACAAGCCAATAACACTGGCCATTATTTTCACAGCAGACTTCTCTTGGATTTTAAAACAAAATCTTTGGTTAAAGCGGAGTTGTTTTGCCAAGATGCGGGCGGCTCTTTCGTGTTTATAAACAACATAATACATTGATGCAAAGCAAAAAATTAGACTGCAACACGGTAAGAACTCTAAAAATAACATAAGAATCAATGACAGCACTTTCAACAGCAGAGTCTCTCTAAAAACAAGCCCGTTCAGTAAAAAAACCAAGACCAAAACAACTGGAATGGTCCAAGAGGTAACAAACATCTGGAGAACGCGTTTGCGCGTCATAAAAGTCCAGTACCTTAACGGCTTCACAACGGCAACGTAGCGCTCTAGGACTAAACTGCACAAGTTTGTAACCGAAGCGTACCCAAAGAACCATCTTAGATAATCCACCCCGCTTGCAAAGAAGGCCTTTGGGTCACATCCAACTATCTCTTCGCAGACGTAAAGCGAGGGAAAATCAATAAGCCCAACACAGAAGTCCGCCACTGCAAGAGAAACTATGAATGCGTTGGTTCTGGTGCGAAGCCGCCGTCTTCTTCCAACGAGGCAGATGATAAATCCATTTCCAGTTATGGTCAGAATGGACAGAGACCAGCCAAGAATCGAAAACCAAGTTTCCATTTTGTGGTCGTTAAGTGGAAAGCTGTGAGGATATACTTTCGCTGAGGATTTGAACTAATGTAAGACCAACTACAAACAATTAAAACATCTGGTGATTTCCTCTTGTTCGGAGGTCCCTCAAAAATACGCCACAATTGATTAATCAGGCTGAATCCTTGCCGCTTTTCGTGTTAGGTCCACCCACGATCCTCCATTGCAGATTCAGTGAATTAAAGGAAGGAAACTTATCATGGGAGAGGCAAGTCGGAGGGGAAACACTCGTGTGTGCATCTGTGCTTATTGACGAAAACCGCACAAATAATCATGTCCGCAGTGACGTCAACCTTTCTTATTGACAGTAAGAAATTTCTATCTAAAGATAGCTAAATAAGAGTCTTGACAACCTACCTCTGACGGCTTGATAAAAAGGTAATAATATGAAGGCCGATGGCGAGATCACTGGCAGAGAAGTAATAATGATGAAATGGTGATAACAAATTTTATAATGGAATTGTGAGACCGAAGGAGTTACGCACGCTATGTAATTGTTTTCTCCTCTTTCTTTTTTTGGTTGTGTTGTTGTTGTTTTTTTTTCTCAGGACCTTAATGTTTGATTCGACAATAATAACGTTAAGAAACATTTGGCGCTAGCCCAGTATGAAAGGTTTAGGATTAACGCAGTAATTCAAAAGTTGTTTGTTTGCCATGCTGGATAAAATTATTTCTTACAGAAAACCAGCTGATCTCAAATGACATTAAAACTAGAACTCACTTCTACTCACTTGATCATCACACGACAACAAGATCAAACCTAGGCACAAACAGCCACCTAGGATCTACGGCTTACCTAAGATACACAAACCCAACACACCGTGAGGACCAATTGAATCATGTATTAACACCTTTGCTTACGATCTGTTGGCATACCTAGCCATTATCCTTGACGGGCAAGTCAGACTACTCAGTTATTAACTCTACGCACTTCGCGTCAACCATCAGTGACGAGAAAGTACATGATAACGAGGTCATGGTATCTTTTGACGTAGAATCGTTGTTTACAAAAGTAACGATCGAGGATGCAGTTCAAGCCGCATGACGAAAAATAGAGAACGAAAGCGATCTTGCTCACAAACTTAACACCTACACAAATTGCCGACCTCTTGAATTTCGTCTTAAGATCGACATATTTCCAATACAACGGGTCGATTTATGAACAGCAAGACGGAGCAGCTATGGGAAGCCCTGTTTCCGCAGTTACAGCTAACATCTACATGGAAGAATTTGAATTTTCTCGACACAACAGTTATAAGGGACTTCTCAGTACCACTGTCTACAGAAAGCCCACCCACACTGACCAGTACCTAGCCTATGATTCACACCACCCTCAGTCAGTGAAGTGTGGTATTGTTAAGTGTCTTTACGACCGAGCCAAACACCTCACAACGAAACCGTCAGTTATCTCTAAGGAAAAGAAACACCAGTTATCAGTTCTTGTTTCTAATGGTTATCCCTCTTCATTTGTACGAAGACTCGCAAAGACAACAAGAGTAACAGCCAACAAAAAAACCCGCGCAGGAATTTAAATCTATTGCCGTTTTCCCTTCGCCGCTGCCTACAACATGAAGGTATACGGACCGTTTTCAAGTCTGACACAATACTTAGGTCTCATTTAGTACGACCTAAAGACGCCCTGGAATCAACAAAACAAAACAGTGTCGTTTACAAGTTCCCATTTGAATGCGGCAAAGTGTTCATCGGTGAAACAGGGAGATCAATGCGAGAAAGGATAATTGAACATGACAGAGACATACTGTTTGCTCGTACTCAGACCTCAGCGGGAAAAAAAGAGGAACAAAGTTGAGAATATCTCCTTGTCTGTCATATAAGAAGCAGCCCTTTAAAACATGAAGATACGCACAGGAAAAAACGTTGAGCAAATTTTGCAAAACGCGTCTTTTGAAAACTTTTTAGGATAAAAGACAACAGAGGTATTCAAGGGAGAAATGAACTATTTTACGCACGTAAAACAGTTATCAAGGAGGATGGGTAAGAACATGTTATACCCTGATAGAAAATATTTTGCTTTGCTCATATTGAAAATTGCATCAAAAATACTCTCGACACGCGGTTTTTGCGAGGCAATCGATTATATTCTTAGTTGTGTTTAATCGAGCCTTTGGCTTGCCTTCGGCTTGCCTTCTGTACATAACATGTTCAAAACCGAACGTTTTTCGCCCTGTTAAACTCCATCTACCTGGCTACTAAGAAAAGATAGCAATCCAATTTCCCGTAATTCCATATTTCTCAGTTGGGCCTGCACACTCTAAGACCAGCTACTAAACACTGCAAATTGAATGTCTCTTTTCATAGGGAGAAATTATTTATTTTTAAACCAAGTCACCCGAGCTATAAACTGACAAAACGATCGATTAAACTATCCTAATTTGCAAGTCAATGGTGACAGATATAATTTTAGTATAACCAGAAGCATTTTATTTCTCTTGTCACTCGAAAAATTCTACTTCTAAAAGTACTTCTACTGAAGTTTGGCAGACGTAATTAATATCAACAACAACGAGTGCATGTCTAACAAAATAATCAATCACAATGAGATGAAAACGTTCTGAAAAAATGTCTTAAATACGCATGATTCATACACAGGAAATCTTGCTGGATAAGTTCTTCCTTTGACAGGTTGAAACGGTTCAATAGCGTAAAAACGATTTACTTATAATCCGAACTTCATTCGAATGTAAAAGCTTCACTGATTAAAAAAACTAAATTTCTAACAAAAAGTCCACCGGCGGTTTTCCAAGGCAATTTTTTGGTTATCGGTGATCACTTGGCTTCGTGAGACTTTTCTGAATTTGCTCGTCGTGGGGCATTGTCAAAAAACTCTTCCTAGGACAAAACGACAAGTAAGCGGCAAATGATCCAAGGAACAAATGCGGAAGGTGTTTTTAAACGCATATCAGTTGTCCAACTTGATTGTTCAAAGGCTCAAAAATGCAGTTCACGGCACAAGACAAAAAAAATTGAGCGAACCATTTATTTCGATTGTTTTTCCTTCTTTTAGTCCAAGAAAAAAAAATCATTGTAAGTGAACTAAAATAATCGTATTCACATTTGCGAACGACAAAATCCATACAGCGCTAGTACTATGTTTCACCCGCTCTCCGTTGTATACACCACCGCTTAACCATTAATTAAGTCCGCAAATAAACACGTTCTGCATACGCCAAATTAACGGTTCATCACGCATCTAAGAGCATATCTGTTTGACTCAGTACCTCCCCATATTCATTTTAAGTAAGACCTTAATGTTTGATTCAAGATTTAACAATAATACCGTAAGGATAAGTTTGGTGCTAGTCCAGTCTTAAAGGTTTAGGATTAACTCAGTAATTCAAAATTGGGTTGTTTGTTATGCAGGATAGCTAGAATTATCTCTTCCAGTAAACCAGCTGATCTCAACCGACATCAACATAAGAACTTATTTGCAATTTATTCCGGAATAGTACTAATTTTTTTTCATTTGCAGCATATACATACTCTGCCGAGAAAATCTTAGAGTCAATTTTTAAAATTTTTAAAATTTTTTATTCTAAGTCCTCCTTGCACTTTTAAAAACCTGCGCAAATTAAGGCCCACCTTTTCAAGTTCCACCTGTTAAATTTTACCAGATTCACTCAGCATGGACAGATAACTTGCTTATTACTCTAACTTCTATGTTCTCGCTCAGTCTTGTTCCTTAAGAAAATTTAAACGCAACTCATTAAAGTTTGCTTTTTCGACAAAGTAGAATTACTCGTTTTTCAAAACAACCTGATCTCAATTGACATCGACACTAGAACTTATTCATTTGCATTTTTTTCTCAGCGATACAACTTTATTTAAATAAAACACGAGTATAACATTTCATTTTGAGCTTTACCCAATAATTTGAATCCTAAAACTATACAACTTGTTCCCTGCTTATAAACATTAATTAATATAATAGGGAATGCTTGTATTGCGTTATGATCGATCCAAATAGAAAGTTATCAATTCGGACAAAAATCTATTTCTTGCGTTTAATTTAAACCAGCCTTTTCGTGATGGTCAGAAAGAATATAAAGCGACCTGTCAGAAATGCTAATATGGGCGAGTTGCGTCAAGCTCATGTGATGTGCAGCGAACTTCTGGAGGAAATTTTGACACAACGCCAATAAAATTTTATTGTCGTCGCAGCGATGCCTACTTTAAGTCCGATTCGCACTTTTTGCATCGTGTACATACCTAATGTGAAACTCTTCCGCCCTGTTGAGTCGTATCCTCTTTACTACGGGCAGAGAGATAATTATTAAACTACATGATAACCTTTAAATACTTCGTTATCGCAAAGGCTTCTTGTCACAAAAGAGCGAGTGAACGGCTGGCACTTTAAACGGACAAAAGAGCACTTGATTTCAATTGATATAAGACTAGATCTCGTTCATGTGAAATTTAGCATAACATATAATCCTAAAATTAATCAGTTGTTAGAGTGGTTTGGCAATACAAATCCATGTACAATGGGATGTGTTTTAATCTTAAAATACAAGAAAAAGTTTTATTCAGCCAAAGCTCGCTCTTGATAAAATTATTCCATCCTTTTCTTTGACCTCATCCACTAAGTATATAGTGATAGCCGCCAAAATACCCTAACCTCAATATCGATGGACCAATATGATTCTGAGCTCTTTGAAAGAGTAGTACAAAGTTATGTGACTTTTTTCAGATCACACGCGTACAGCGAATGCGTCGTTTTACTTCTTCTCCTATGTCTCTTATGAACAGAGCGTAAGCAACAGGGTTAATGGCAGAGATGAAACAATAAGAGGTATTTTATATTCTTGATAATTACACGGACCTTCCTCTGTATAGAAAAGATATAAAAGACTACATCGCAAAGAGCACGAATTAGCTAAAAGTAACAAATCAATAACAACTGCCATTATTTTCACGGCAGACTTCTGCTCGCTTTTGAATAATGATGATTG